CTTTCACTCTTAGAACTAAAATAAACACATTTAGGACAGCGAGGAGCCTGGGATATAGGCACAGGTGGGGAAACCAAGAGTCGGGATGGAAGTCAGTTCCTGGAAGATGATCCCATTCTTTGCTTCCACAGAGAGAAGAATAACTTTCAACGTGGTGTCGGAACACGCTGTTCTCCCCATTTCCGTATTCCGAATGGTAATTTCTAACTCGTTAGTCTTATTTTACTTAGAGAAATGACTTCCCAAAACAGAGATTTCAAACCATGGTCCTGCAATTTGGTAGCAGTAGTCGAGGGGTTCAGTGTGCCCACTTCCATCAGAGCAGCACCATTATTTTTAATGGTGGAGGGGAACAAGGAGCCAAGTTTCCTAATAATGCTTCCAGAAAGTTTTGAGGTGGACAGCACCCAAGGACTGTGAGGTAGAGCGGCTGGGGAGCCGTGAAGGATTGTTAGCAGCTCATCATTTCAAAGGGCCGGAGCCTAGTTCCCGGTGAAGAACATATTACAGTTTGCAGACCTGAGCCTTTCACCCTTCCTTTTCTGTGGAGTCTGTTTGCTGCTACCTATTGTGTCCTCTTTCCTCATAGCAGGGAACCTGACCTTTAATGGATATAGAGAGGAACTGGGACATATTTTGTCAGCATTTGTTACATTTATACAAATGGTTGCTATGTAACTTCTTAAGGGAAGAAAAGGGGACAGTTGGGCATTTCATATTTCTCTTTTCATTTTTATTTTTTAAAAGATTTTATTTATTTATTAGGGAGAGAGAGAACGAGCAGGGAGAGGGACAGAGGGAGAAGGAGAGGCAGGCTCCCTGCTGAGACACAGGGCTCCCTGCCAGGACCCTGGGATCATGACCTGAGCCAAAGGCAGGTGCTCAATCAACTGAACCACCCATGAACCCCTATATTTCTCTTTTTAAAATAGACTTTAAAAAAAAAAAGGATTGAAGCTCTAGATTTAAGTGCCCTTCCCCCAAGGTTGTCCAGGTCCTAGTCCCTGAAACCTGTGAATGTTACCTTAACATGGCAAGAGAAACCTTACAGATGTGATTATGTTAAGGATCTTCGGGAGATTATCCTGGATTATCCACATGGGTCCAATGTAATCAGAAGACGGTCTTATAAGTGGGAGGTAAGAGGGTCAAGGTCAGAAGAGATATGTCAATGGAAGCAGAGGTTGCAATTTGAGAAAGATTCAGCTGAATATTGATGGCTTTGAAGACGGAGGAAGAGTCCATAAACAGAGGAATGCAGGTGTCCTCTAACAGGTAGAAAAAGGAAGAAACATTCTCCCCTAGAGCCTCCAGTAGGAACACAATCCTGTCAATTCCTTGACTTTTGGGCCAGGGAGTCACATCTTGGAATTCTGACCTCCAGAGCTGTAAGATAATAAATTTGTGTTACTTTAAGCCACAAAATTTGCCATAATTTTTTAACAGCGGCCATAGAAAACTGACATACCACGCCACCCAGGAAAAAAGAAAATCCTGCTGTAGACCCACATTAATAGAAAGAAGCGGGTTAACTAGGAGAGGACACAACCGGGCAAGGAGCTCCTGCAGTGGGAGTGGGAATGTCAGAGGCTGCCCAGCTATATGTATGTATTCATATGATCTCTGATATTCCAAAATTGGCAACACGGGGATAGACTGGGTAGTGCTTGCATGCACCGAGTCTTATGTTTTGACTATTTGTATAGTCCTTTTTATTTCCCCTGCTAGCCTACACTTTTCCATGATAGCATTCATCTTCATATTCCGGTCCTTTCCTCTGCCTTGTATGAATAATTCCACCTTGCATTTGTGAGGCATCTCACACTTCCCAAAGCCCTTGTGTAGCCATTAACCATTTTGAGCCTTTCCACAACCCTTGTGGGGTCAGGCAAGACCACTAGTGGTACTATTAATATATTTCACGGTAGCACCCAAGTTTCTCTAATACCGAGTCCTTCTGTTGGCAGCATTTCACCCATTTTATCTGCAATGTGAATTCTAGACCATGGATGAGAAAGTTGAGACGCTGGCAGCCTCGCAGGGGTCCTGAGACTGAGTGAGCCCTGGGAGATCCGCGGCAACTCTGTGCACCTCCTTGACCTTCTAACCTCTGAACATGGGAGAAAAAGCCCTTTTGCCCAGCTGGTGGGGGGAAGGAAAGCTCCACAATGGGGAAACCCATCTTGCTTCTCTAGCACATAGAGCAGTCAATCGGATGGGAAGAAGGAGTCACTCCCTGGTTCCAGGGAGACTGTCAGGGGTCCCCAGTCTGAGCCCCCTCCTCTTCCCCAACTGTCCTAAGGAGGCCCTGCTGTGAAGGTAGGCAGGAGGAATGGTCATGCTTCTGGCCTGGACCTCAGGGCCTGGCGGAAGTCGGAGGCAGAAGAAAATGGTATCCAAGCCTTTGGATGCCAGCCCCCACCGCACAGAGACAGCGCTGCGTCCCCTTAGAGACAGTTTGGAGTCATAGGTCCCCTATCAGTGGTCCAAGCTCCACAAGTCACTTTGCAAGGATCCCGCTGCCTCTGCAGAATGTGGGCAACACCTACCCTGCAAGTCGTTGGGAGGATAAAAATAATCTATGGACAAGAGGGAGCGCTCAAAGGATAGCTGGATTACCCGCACCCAAGCAAACCGGGAAGAGGATCCTCAAAGCCGGCCGGCCGGTCATGGAACCAAGACCCCATCCAGCCCCAGTCTCCAGTTTCTCACCCAAAGGCCCGCTTCCCGGGGCGCTTCCCGGGGCGCTTCCCGGGGCCTTCCGTGGCCGGCGTGGGCCCCGAGACCAAGCTTTCCCGCCCGGCTCACAGCGCGCGGGCGGGGGCAGCTGCAGGCGCGGCCCGCACCCAGCACCCGCTTCGCCGAGCCCCGCACAGCTGCGCACATCTGGCAGCCCAGGGCGGCCGCGGCCGGGACCCCCGCCCCGGAGCCCCGGTCTGGGCGGACCCCGGGGCGGCGCCGGCTCGGCCTCTCCGGGAGGCTCCCCGGGCGCCTCCGCTCCGGCTGCGGGCGCTGGGGGCGGGGCCCCGGGAGGGGGCAGCGGGTGGCCTGGGGGGGCCTGGGGGGCAGCGGGGAGCCCTGGGGAGACAGCCGGGAGCCTGGGGGAGCAGCGGGGTCCACGGGGGGTCCGCGCGGGGCCTCGGGGGCAGCGGGAGGCCGCGGGCGGCGGCAGGGGGCCCGCTGCGGGCCTGGGGGGTCTGTGAGGGGTCCGAGGGCGGCAGCGGGGGTCGGGTGCCGGCGGGCCGCGGGGAACCTGGGGGGGTGCAGCGGGGTCCGCGGGGGGCAGCGGGGGGTCCGAGGGGGCAGCGGGGTGCCGCGGGGAGTCATTGGGGTCCGCGAGGGGGGCCTAGGGGGGCAGAGGGGGCAGCGAGGGCCGCGGGGGGCCGCTGGGGGTCATTAGGGTCCGTGGGGGGGGCCTCGGGGGGCAGCGGGGGTCCTCGGGGGGGCCGCGAGGGGTCATTGGGGTCCGCGGGAGGGCAGCGGGGATCCGCGAGGGGGCAGCGGGAGTCTGGGTGCCGTGGGGGGCAGCGGGGGGCCCGAGGGGGGCAGCGGGGGTCGGGGCGCCGGGGCGCACGCGTGTCTGCCGGCCCTCGGGGGCGCAAGCGCGGCGGATCGGCGGGAGGACCCCGGGATGGGGGGGACCCGCGGAGGTGACCGGGGCGGCCGGGAGGCGACGGGACAGGGCCTGGCCCGCCGCCCGCAGGGTCCAGGCCCGGCCCAGGCAGCCGAAGGTCCGCGGGCTCGCGCCAGCGCCCGGGGCCAAGGCTGACGCGGGTGCAGCTGAGGGGGAGGAGGGGGGAGGGGGCGGCCTCCCTCTGCACCCCGGGCCCGCCCGCGCCGCCCGCTCCCGCGGCGGGACAGCTGCGCCCCGCACCCCCCACCCCGAGGGCGAGCGGCCCGGGGGGCTCCGGGTCCCGGGCAGCGGCGGGAGGGAGGGAAGCGCGGCCCCATCCTCGCCGAGGCGATCGGCTCGCCCCACGCGTGCTGCCCGGTGCCGCGGTCCCGGGCGCAGGGCGGAGGTCGGCGGGGGCACCTGCTTTGGGAGGCGGACCAGCCCAGGGAGCCGTGAAACTCACCCGAGCTGAGCCCCAAGGGGTCCTGTGCACAGCCCTGACTCAGTCCCCTTGCTAATAAGACTGTAGGCCGTAAGGGTTTTACCTGGGCACTTTCAACGCACCTCTCCTCTCTATCCTTCCAGCAAGCCTGGGAAGCACACAGAGCTCCTACCTATTCGTGTTACAGGGGAGAAAACACGGCTGGGAAAGGCCCATTTGTCCCCATTTGCGTAGCTAGACTCGGTCAGCCGGAGGCTAAGTCCCTTCTCTCCCTCCCTCCCCCCTCTCTTCCCCCTCCCTCCTACAGCTGTAGGCCAGGCTTCCACCCCTTCCAACATTCCTGAAGAGGGGTGGCCTCTATTTCTGGGAGAATCAGGCCCTCTAGTCACTGCTGCCTGGGAGGTGGGGATAGTAAGTGAAAAAGAAGCTGGTTCTCTTTACTGCAGAGCAAATTCTGTGAGTGGCCTTCCTGGAGGCTTCTCTTCCTTGCCCTGGGGCAGTGGTTCTCAAAGTCCTGCCCCAGCCTGAGGGGCAGCAGGAACCTCACCCCGGGGAACTTACAAGAAATGCACATCCTCTGCTCCACCCCAGGCCTCCTGAATCAGACACTGGAAGCAGAGCCTAGCAGTTTTGTTTTAAGGCACACTCCTGCCAATCCTGTGGGACACCAAGTTCTGAGAACCACTCATCTAGAAGAGCCTCAGTGTAGGCTAGAAGCGGGCTGACTGCCACGCGAGGCGGGAGGGCCAAGAGGGCAAGAAATGAACTGGTCCAGTGGCTAGCAGTAGTGTGATAGGTCCATTCCTCAGATCCTCTTAACTGTGTGTGTGTGTGTGTGTGTGTGTGTGTGTGTGTGTGTGTATAAACCTTTGGGGCCACATACAATATTGGAAAGTAATGGAGACTCTGAGGACCTCCCATAGCATTGCATTCACGTACCTACTCATGTCTCAAACACAGTGTCCCTGCTGAGGCCCAGCCCTCCAACTTGCTCAGGATGATCTGGATGTTCACGGATTCCTTTTGAGTTGAAAGAAACAGATGCAGCCAGGTCCTGCCCTGCAATGGAAGGTTCTGCAATGGAAGGGCATCGTTGCCTATGAGCAAGTAAGCGGAGCAGACCCTGCTCTTTCCTCCTCCCCCGCTGACAGGTAAGGCTCACTTTGTCCACCTGGTGGAAGTGCAGAGCCAGCCTGTGGTGGGGGGAGGGAGAGGGAGACTGGGGGAGGAAGAGAGAGGACAGGGATGCAGGAGTCACTCCTCCCAGCTGGCCCCAGGGATATGGAGGGTAAGCATGGGTACCAGGTAGGATCCGAACTGGTGACATAGCAGGGAAGCTTGCTGGGGGAATCGATGGAAAATGTCCCTCTCTCTTTGAAAGGGCCTCGAGAAACAGGCCTTTTCCTTTCAGTCTCCAGATGTCATCACCGGGAGCACTATAGTCTTTCTGAAAAGACAATGAAAGGGATTGGACTAGAAAAGCCAGCAGGATTTGGGGGGTGACAGAGAAGAAAGTCGGGGAACTTTCAGGATCTTCAGGATGTTGTTAAACCACCAAGTCAGTGGCCCCGGAGAGGTGGGGGAGAGGCACGCCTTGGGATTTTCCTGCTACAGGAGATGGATTGCTTTTCTTATCTAGCCAGCTGCAAGCTCCCTTCTCTTTTGCAGCCGCACCCTCCGCACAGGCTGGAGCACACTAGCGGAAATGAAAGTCCGGTTGGGCATCAGAGGGGTTACTGGGAGGACGCTGGGGGGGGCTCTGACCACTCCAGGCACCGGAGCCCCTAGCATCCCGCACCTGTCTCAGGATGCCTGCCGCACCCCTCGTGTGGCTCTCTTGCTGCTGCCCTGGGCCCCTTCTTGAGTCCGTCCTTGCTTTCAGCGAAACTGGCTGCTGCTCACTCACTAGGCTTCCAGTTCCAGTTTTCGAGAGTGAGAACCTGATAGGCCTGGTCAGGCACCGCAGCTCCCAAGAGGGAAGACATTCTCATGCCGGGTGTCCTCATGGGTGGCTCACTGGTCAGTCTGCGGAGGGGGGTCCCCCTCTGTGTCTCCTCGTCCATAGCAAGGAGAGTGGGTGCAGAACATGATCAGCCCCACTCAGCCCGAGGCTGAGGCTGTGGGCTGGGAAGGTTCCCTGACAGGCACACAATGCTGTTGGCAGGTCGTGAGGCTGGCTTGCCAGCGCAGCCTTCGTGGGGAGCAATAAAACGGCAGCGCTGAGCCAACCAGGGTCAGAGCAAAGGAATCCACTGCAACCGCAACCCTCTCTGCTGTTGATCTGTTACACACTCAAGAGTGAGGGTGGTGGTGGTGGGGGGTCCAGTGGGAATGTTTGCCTGGGGCCTAGCTCTGCCCCAGACACACAGTCAGACTCAGAGAGTATCCACCCCCGCCCCCGCAGGTGCATACCCACAGGAGTGGAGGCACTGCTGCTGCCCCAAATGCACACACCACACGTGATTTTTCCATATGGCACTTGATACAACTGTTTTCAGGGTTGTTTTGTCGTCGGAGTCCTTATGAAAGCCTTCGCGGCCTGGCCTTGTGCCGGGATGTGCGAGCAGCAGCCCTGCTGATGGCACTGGAGGCAGAAGTGACAGCGAACGACCGCAGCAGAATGTTTCCTAAATCAAAGCCTTTAAAAAGCATATGGGGTACAAGCAACGAGGAGCCGGAGTGTGAGAGCACGACGCCCTTGCGCTGTGTTTATGGCATTCTGATAGTAGGTGTGTTATTCTTTCCGTAAGAGCAAGCAATCACAGGGATGGAAGGGGCGCCAAGTGAGGTGTTTCTGTCACTTATTAGTTCTATGTCCTCAGGCAAATTGTTTGAACTTTCTCAGCTTCGGTGTCTTCATTGGTAAAATGTGTCTAATACTACTTCCCTTGCAGGGTTGCCGTATTCCTTACAGACAGTAAGGCACCTGAGAAAATGTTGAGCACATAACATGGTGACATCTTAAAGCTGTCATCCTAAAGGACCCTTTCCCCGGGGCAGGTAGGCTATAGGGTTACTTTGAGAGAATCATAGTCTGAATCTCCAGACCATGGTATTGACTGAGTGCTGGGATGTCTGTCACCCCGCTCAACAAATGAGCTTGGAATTCATTGTGCTCATCAGATCAGAAATGAGAAATGGCTGGAAGGTGCCAAGCGGATAGTGGGATATTGGGAAGAAGACAGCTTAATTGATGCTAATCTGAGCAGGAAATAGAGAGGAAGCCAAGTAGCTTCGAGAGCTGAGCCCAGGTGTCATTCATCATTTTATGCTACATGGGAAGTGGGAGAGGACCCAGACCTGATACCAGCCAGGGCTCTGAGGAAAGAGAGGTTACTGTCACCAGGAAGTGAATGATGCTGAAAAAAAACCACCCCAGGCACTAAGAGAGAGGTCAGGAATAAGGATGGGATTTGCAGGATTGGGGAGCCAAAGGACCTTTAGGGGAGTGATAAAGATATTTAGGAATTCTTGGGACTGGAGTCAAGAAAGGTCTACTAGACAGCTGAGAGCACTCAGAAGTCCAGTGTGGCTGCCTGAGGCCACACTCAAAGAGAAAATCAACAGTGGATATTGGAGACATTTTAGGGATCCCTGAAGGCTCCCAGTGGGAATACCAGACACTGCGGTGTTAAGATGGCAAGGAGGAACGGGTGTGTGTGTGTGTGTGTGTGTGTGTGTGTGTGTGTGTGTAAAACAATATTTTTTTCCAGAGGACAAGACTCCAAAATGTGTTTCAGCACCACCACCACCTGCCCCCTATACATCCTGCAAAATCCTCCAAACTGTGGAGAGGATGGACTTTACTCCCATCATTAGGTTACATTAGAAGGCACAGCTGGCCTTAAAATAAGAAGAATAACTAGGTGGGTAGGACCTAATCCTAAAAGCCCCTTAAAAAAAGAGCGTCCTCTAGCTGCTGACCGAAGGGGAAGTCAGGGATCTCAAGCAGAAGTATTCAAGGCACCACTGATGACTTGAAGAGGGAGGAGGCCACTTATCAAGAAATTTGGCGGCTTCTAGGAGAAGCAGCTCTGGGGACTACCAGAAACGAAAAAGGGATCAGTCCTATAACCACAAGGAACTGACAACAAGAATGGGCTTGGAAATGGATTCTTCCCCAGAGCCTCCAGATGAGAGCGTAGGCGAGTTAACACCTTGATTTTAGCCTTGGGATCCTCTGAGCGAGAACCCAGCCTCTCCATACCGGATTCAAACCGTGACTTGTGAGATACTAAGCTGCTAAGTTTGTAGGGAATCTGAATGCAACAAGAGGAAACAAATACAGATCAATGAAGAATATGTGGTTCAGATTTAGGACTTAATCTTTCGTGCTTCCCACCTTATTTCCTTTTCGTTTCACATTACCTTCTTCATCTTTTTTTTTTTTTTTGGCCAATTTACTATCTTGATTACTAGGAACCAGAGAGAATTTGACTGTACCTAAGTGCTAATAAAATAAAATAAAATATAAGAAAAATGTAAAGTCTGTACCTGCTTCTGCCACTTAGTTTGTGTGGCTTTGGGAAAGTTGTTTAGCCTCCTTATACCTCAGTTTCGCATCTATAAATAACGTTTATAAGGCTTACTTGCTGCACTGAAGTTAGACTCAAGTCACATGATGTATGCGTGCTTCATACGTGCTTTATGAAGTATAAAGCTGTATATAAATATAAGCAACTATGGGTTTGAAGCCAGAACCACCGGCAGGGTACCTGGGGCAGCCAGGTGAGCCAGCAGAGGTGAAAGTCCCAGCTAGAATATCGAGGAACCTAAGAGAGAGGAGAAAATTAATAAGAAGAGCCCTTGGAGAAAGCACTGGGGAGCAGTTGCAAGGACTCTTTCTCCTCTTGACTGTGCTTTCAGTCTAAAGACTGAAAATAAAAAAAAAGCAGACTGGGAAGCGCGCGAGACGAATTCTCAGTATCACCAACCCCAGGGTTTAAAATCCTAGATGAGGAAAGAAGTAATATGACCTCCAGAATGGCCAACCAAATCGTTTTAGAAAGCTAAAGACAAAAGGAAGCCTGCCACACTGCTGCAGCGAGGACATTGGGTAATGAGGACAATTAGACAGAACAAATGAATGAAATCAAACACCTCCAAGGCAGAGGAGAAGCAGAAGGAAATTTCTTTTGGGGAAATGTTATCATTGGCTAAAGACAGAACACGCCTGTGCTTCACAGTGGTGTGGGAACAGTCTCGGGCGGTAAAGAGATGGTTGGAAAGGAAGGCTACAGGCCCTGTGGCAGCATATGGAAATTCAATCTATAACAAAGAAAATCAGACAAGAGATGGGTGATAAGCACGCCCATGAAGGACAAAAAGACAGATGTAAAAATCTGATGAGTTCTCCAACTTCTGACAGCATCCAAATTAGCACAGTGTTTATTATGGATCAGATTAAATAGCTACACAGAGAAATACTTGGGAGAAGATTCGGAAAAGGAAGAACCAGCACCAATGCTATATTTACTCAACAATAACAACAAAGTGTTTTGTTTCCTGCCTCTTCCATTGTTTCTCGACAAGGAAGCTGCATTTTAAAAACATGAACCCAGGTAATATGAAAACACACACACACACACACACACACACACACACACACACACACGGTAAATCTCAGATGAATCTACAGAAGTGATTAAAAGCTTTCACCAGCACAGTCATTTTGTGATCATTCTAGAGCGGGATGAAACTGAGACCCAAGCCCAGGCAGTAACCTCATACCACAGAGAAGATCCATGTTTAGGATCATGGGTGATCTACTCGGGAGGAGGCACAGGCTTGAACTCTACTGTTTTTCCTTGGTGAGATACTGAACATTTAGATCGGCCTCTCTGAGCATCAGTTTCTTAACCTGTAAAAACTGTAGGATTTTGGACTCAGTGGAATCTTATATATAAAATGGCTGACATATGGTCAACAATCAAAAATGGGGACGAATTTTTAAACTACTAATGTCGCCCTAGTTGTAAAGGGGCTAACTAAATACACTCAGGATCCTTTCCACCTTTAAAGTCTTATGGGTCTACCCTTGTAGGGTAGCCTTATTGCTGGGAATATAAAATGATGCAGTTTCTGTGGAAGATAGTTTGGCAGCAGTTCCTCAACAAGCCAAACATAGACTCATCAGACAACCCAGTAATTCCACTCTTAGGTACATACTTAAGAGAACTGAAAGTGGGGACTTACACAGTCACTTGTACACCGATGTCATTATAGCGTTTTTGTTGTTTTTTTGCAGTAGCTGAAAGATGGACACAACCCAGTCTCTGTCAACAGATAAATGGATAAACAAAACGTGGCGTGCGATACAATGGAATATTATCCCGCCGTAGAGAGGAATGCAGTTGTGCCACATGCTACAACACAGATGAACCCTGCAGACGTTGTGGTAGGTGAAACAAGCAAATAAGCCAGAGACAAAAAGAACACATATTGTCTGATTCCATGTATATGAGATATATTAAAAGAGGAAATGTCATAGAAACAGAAAGTAGAGCTCACCATGGGCTGGGGGAAGACGTTATTGCTTACTGGGTACTGGGTTTCTATTTGGAATGATGGAAATGTTTTTGGAAACAGATGGTGTGATGGTTATACAACAGTGTGAATGTGATTAATGCTACTGAATTGTACACTTAGAAATGATTAAAATGGCATCCTTTATGTTATATACATTTTTTCCCACACACACACAAAAAGTGTGGTTCTATCTTTCGGACTCTTCTCCTATGATACGGTGACATCCAAATTAGAGAAATGAATGCCACCTGCCCTTTTTATATTCCCTACAGTCACAAGCGTGGGCTCCGGACACAATTTGCCTGGGTTCAGATCCTCCCTTGGGTCCTTACTACCTGTGCCATCTGGGGCAAGCTGCTCAAAATTTTGAGCTTCAGTTCCCTTTTATGTAAACTGGAGATAAAAATAATCCGTATCTCATAGACACTATGAGATGCTTACATCGTGCCCGGTATGAAGAAAGTGCTTAGGAAATACGATTTCTTCCTATTCCTTGAAAAGCAGAAGGTAGGGTGCATCAGAGCCGGGTGCCCAATGGTGCTAGGGCCAAAGTTCTAATCCCGATTTCCCAGGATGATGCTCCTTACTGAGGTGGGAAGCCTTGGCTCTCATCCCCAGATGACCGGAATACAACAAGCCACACTCCTTGAGGCTCTACCTCAAGCCCGCTCCATCCTTCCCACTTTAGGTAGAGAGATCATTCTAGTCCTTCAGTAGATAGCACCTTGCAGCTCTTGAATCCAGTCCACACTCATGAATACCCCTTTCTGCTCCAACCATGTTGACCTGCTTGCAGCTCCGCCTGGAGGGCTCCTACCTCGCCACCTCTCCTGGCTCTCGGCTCCCCTTCCTTTCAGCCTGACTCACCAGGGCTGAGTTAGATGCTTCTCCTCTGAGCTCACATAATGCCCCTTCCGCCCTCCCTGGCATCGCCTACTCACTCTGATGTTATTACCTGTTTCCTTATCATGTCTTAAGATAAGATTAAGCTCCTTAGGCTATTATTAACCTTTTATCCCCAGTGCCTAGGACAGTGCCCACAGTGCCTGGCTCAGAGGAACGCATGCTGGTTGAATAGAGGAATGAATTTGAACAGATAGAAGAATAGATGGATGATCTGGCATTGGTTCTACAAATTGCATCAGGTTGTAAGATGGCAATACCAGCTCCTATCGGCCGTTGGCCTCTTTTAGACCTTCATTAGACCAGTATGGACCCTTGACAGGATGTCAATTTTAATGGGAAACAGTGACAGCCTAGGTTCCAAACAAGGCAGGTGAGCGACTGTTGGTTTTTTAGAAACTTACTGCCCCCTACTGTCTGTTTTTAAATAGATTTCTACCCATGGTTTCAGTTCCTTCAAGACCCTCTAAACCTACCTCGTTCTTAACTTTCCTACTTCCACTGATGGTGGCACCAATTATGGGAGCTACTAACACTTAAAATCTTTTCTTATTCTCCCATTGCCCCTCAGATCTCTGCAATCCCTCAACCCATTAACATGACCTCCCATCTCTACCCACTTTCCTATTCCTACTATTACCATGAAAAAGTGCTTTGTAAGAACAAAGCTCTATTAAAGAATGTTTTCCTCTGCATTGGGAAATCATCAAGGCCACTCGGGCCACTCAACGTCATTTAATACGTAACACAGACTTGAGGCTAGCCTCCACTTCTCTAGCACCTCTGGGTAACACAGCACTATTAGACTAGTTAGATTCTCAAGGCAGAAACAGACCAATTTTAAATGGCACTAAATGGGGCAATGACCTAGCACTGCTCCTTTATTAATCTTCATAATACTAGGAAAAATTAGGGGCATGTCCCTCTGCCTTAGGAAACAGGAAGGCTAGCCTTTCTCCTTTGAACCGGTGGCATTGTTTTATTGTCTTTGATTAGGGAAGGTCTTAAGCAACAATTGAATTTGTACTTTAGCTATTGCCAGAAGGAACATTAATTAATATAAATTACACCATAATTAAATCATAGAAATAAGAGCGCATTCATCAAAATTTAAAAAGAGCAGTTTTATACAATCTTCTCCAACTGGTTAAATTGAATCATTCCGCTATTTAAGCTGCTTTTTCACACTATTACTCATCTGTGGTGCCCAACAGATGACTTCTTTAGCAAAAAAGTAGGGAATGGTAGAGAAGTTTACTTTGAGGGGGTATAGACAGGTGATCACAGCCTAAACCAGTTGTCAAGCGGAAGTCTTAGTTCCCCAAGTAATATGGACCAGGTTTCCTAAGTCTGCCCAATTAGTAGTTTGCTCTCTTAAGATCAGGGTCTCTGTACTCAAGGATGCTTATATGTGACCTTTGATTTTTCGGAGTTTTCTTTTTTTTTTAATTTTTATTTATTTATGATAGTCACAGAGAGAGAGAGAGAGAGAGAGAGGCAGAGACACAGGCAGAGGGAGAAGCAGGCTCCATGCACCGGGAGCCCGACGTGGGATTCGATCCCGGGTCTCCAGGATCGCGCCCTGGGCCAAAGGCAGGCGCCAAACCGCTGCGCCACCCAGGGATCCCCGATTTTTCGGAGTTTTCTATGTCCTCATTTGAAGAACGTAGATGATAATGATAGCTCTTTCATAGAGCTATTTAGAACAGTGCCAGAACATTATCCAAGTATGATTCCAGGCTGTCCCCTCACTCCATCCTGTGTGGCTCATGCCTGTCCACCAATGGGCAGCCTGTCTCAGAAGGATTCTAAGTGTAGCTTTTAAGATTACAACACAGAAGGACGTGTTACTTTCCCAGCTCTCATTCTAATAAATAGTTTGGAAAAATCTATGTTGTTTAGAGGCTGTGGTCATTATTTATAGGTACTTAGCATGTGCCCAGACATCGTTGAGGCATCGGGGATTGGAGAGGGTCCAAGCATATAAACCACCCATCAGAGATTCTCCAGAATCTATTCATGTGATTTTAGGCCTTGAAGGAAGCACGGCATCACATTTTCTCAGCCTGTGGAGATGCTTTAACAAGTAGCCAGCTGGGATGTAAAGGCAGCTGCTCTTATTTAAGAACAATATGAGAACCAACTGCCTGAATGGCTCTTCTGTGACATAAAAGCAAGGTGAGGTATTTTTCCATGGTGTTGCCTAATTCCCTTTATTTAAAGATCCAGACATTAATTCCTTCTTGAGCTGTCTATAGCTGAGTTTTATTCTTCTTATCAGAAAATGGAAACTATGTAATCTAAGTGTGTTTGGTGTTTTGGTCACTGCCAGAAAGCTGAGAGCCGGCTCATTGCCCTTGTGGGCCAATTGGTTCAATGCAAGTGCCTGATTGGCCACTCTCCTTGCATCCTTTGACTGTACTCTGCAGGACTTGACTGTTAATTACCGTGTCTTGCACTATGCTTTCTTCTTGAGTCCTTCTGAAAGAGAGTTTCCAACCTTAAATGAAAAAAAAAAAATAGTTCAGTCATTTCAATAATAGCAAAAACAGCAAAAATACGAGGTAAGTATTATGAGCAAATGTTAAGTAAATCACTGGATGGTATTTAAGATTTCTGTTCAGGTAGGATTGAATAGAAGCAATAAGTAAAAAATACTAGATATGTTTTATACAGACGTGTATTATATCTCTATATATAATATACAGATAGAGCTACATCTACACATGGATATATAGGCAGGTATCATACATAGATACACATCTCATATATCATACCTATTTTTAAGACTTTATTTATTATTTATTTGACAGAAAGAGAGAACACAAGCAAGGGGAGTAGCAGGCAGAGAAATGGGGAGAAGGAGGCTCTCCACTGAGCCGGAAGCCAGAGGTGGAGCTTGATCTCTGGACCCTGGGATCACAACCTGAGTCAAAGGCAGACACTTAACCGACTGAGCCACCCAGGTGCCCCCATACATATTTTTATATAGACACATACTAGATATGCACATGCAAATATATCAGATTCTAAAGTCAGACTGTCTAGGTTGGAATCCTAGGTTCACCCTCCCTCAGCTATATGTTCTTGGGCCAGTATTTATCATCTCCTTCTCAGGTTCATCATCTCAAAATGACAGGTAAAAACACTCCCAACAAATGTTGCTTTGAGGATGAATGAGACAGTTATGATATGGCAAGCTCTCAATAAATACCAGCTTTTACTCTTATAACTCCCTTTTACTCATTTATGATAGCAATATTCCTGATAATAATTGCAAGTCCAGGATCCAGAATTTGAACAATAGGCTTAAATGTTTGAAGGCAGATGGGGTATCTTCCCTCAGTGCTAAAGACTGAAGAGTCCTTCATTGTACTTCCTGTAAATAGTACCTACCTCAAACTCCAGCGATCTGGAACAAATGAAGATCTTTAACAGGCACAGCTGGCTAGGACAGAAGCAGCTATGATTAGGGAAGAGGGGCTCAAGGCTTACTAACTCAGAGCAGCCCCCTTCCTTCTGCAGGTCACTCAAATACACAAGGATCAGGGTAGAGGGAAAAATACCTCTCTTTTTTGCTTCCAAAACAATAGCTGCATGAAAGCTTGTTCTGCTGTTTCCTCCAAGCTCACCCTTGGGTAGGATCCTCCACTCAATGGCCAGCCTTCTCAGCATATGTGGTCAGAGAGGAGGGGCCCTAGCAAGACACCAGCCTGGGATGATGAGCTCCTGTGCTGAGCAAGCCTCACACCCTGGCAGTCAAGGATGGGGTCACGGGTTGGGGTGGGGGATGTTGACAAGGACTTCTGCTACCTTACAAACCCAGCCTCAGCTCTTGAACATCACCTTGGTCCCCGCCCCCCACACCCTCCCAACAGCAAATGGACAACAGCTCCAAATTCTTTTGGCTCAAAATCATCGGCAATCAGATGACACAGGGGAAAAAACAAACAAGTGTGTCGTTTATTGTGTTTTATTGTGTTAAACGGTTTACATGGGATAGCCTATTTAATGTAATATGTAATAAAAAATATAGAACTTGTGAAAGCTAGGTTTATGAAAGTTGAGTGGTTTGTTTTGTTCTTAATTTATATTGTTATTTCATTATATCCTTATTTAGAAGAGCCACATAAAGTACACTGTAATTGTATTTTTAAAATATCTGTTCATGTGGGGTTTTAAGTGAATGGAATCAAAATCCCTTGGTTGAGGGATTTTAGATTCAGCTAGGAGTCTGCAAGGGCTAGTTGCCACATAATCTGAGACTGCACTGTCCAGTACAGTGACCACTAGCAACCTGTAGCCACTGAGCGCTCATGGTAATAATTTACATTTAAAAAACTGAAGTAGTGTAAAATATTCTTCTAATAACACAATTTGATCATTTTGGTAGGACCATACTTCACTTCAAGATTTCTCTTGCATGATGGTGTATGTGTTGAGCATGTGTGCTGTTTCTAGTATTACTTGTAAGCATTCCGCTAATCCAGTTGATGGCCACCTATTGATTCAATTCAAATTATTTTTTTCTAAACACCAGTGTAACGTTCTGATGTGTTTATTTGAATATTTTAGGAAGACAGTGCAAGTCACAGTGATACCCATAAATCATAATTGGTAAATTAAATGGCATATATTGTTTTAATTGTACCGCAATTCAAAATGAAGGCATACTACTGATGCTAAATTGCTTACAGGTCCTGGAGCTAGTACTGTCATGGAAAAGATATGTAAGTAAACGTCACAATGAATGGCAATTAGAATTTGCTGAAGTGGTGCAAAATGAAAAAGTTGATTTTTGTATAAAATTTTTAAAAAAGATAATAAAGTGTGCAATGGTAAGAGGCATTTTTACCAAACACATAAGGCATTTGATAAATTTCCTCACAATATTCAGAAGATTGTTGAAATTATTCTTCAAAGTAGAATCAAATATCTAAGAAAAAAAATTTCCCCTTATAGATCATCTATTTTCTTCCTCTGAGGTTTTTAATTTGGGGGGCCCTGGGTGGCTCAGTTGGTTAAGTGTCCAGCTCTTGATTTTGGCTTAGGTCATGGTCTCAGGGTCATGGGATCAAGCCCACATCGGGCTCTGTGCTTTGGTGGAATCTGCTTGAGATTTTCTCTCTCCCTCTCCTTCTGCCCCTCCCCTTGCTCACACTCTATAAATAAATACATCTTTAAAGTTTTTTTTTTTAAAGATTTTCTTTATTTATTCATGAGAGACACACAGAGAGAGAGGCAGAGACACAGGCAGAGGGAGAAGCAAGCTCCATGCAGGGAGCCCAATGTGGCACTCGATCCCGGGACTCCAGGATCACACCCTGGGCCGAAGGCAGACGCTGTACTGCTGAGCCACCCAGGCTGCCCAAATCTTCAAAGTTTCTAATTTTGTTTCTATTTGATGAATTCGACATGTTACAATTTATAAATTTAAGGTATGTAGTATGTTTCTTTGATAATTTTATGTGTTGTAATAGGATTGCCATTGAGGCAACATTTATCACACTATGACTTATTCACCATTTGTCATAAGTTCATACTCTTAAACACCATCAGTCTATCTCCCCAATCCCCATCTCCTGCCAACCACCATTTTGCTTCTCTGTTTTGTTTTGTTTTGTTTTTACAGGTTTGACTTGTTTAGATTCCTCAAATCTTTTTTTCTTTTTTGCAGCTTCACTGAGGCATAATTGAAATTTTAAAAACAGCGCATACTTAATGTATACAATTTGATGAGGTTGAATGTATGTAGACACCTGTGATATCATCACTACAACATGTAATAAACATATTATCACCTCCAAAAGTTTTCCCACATCCCTTTGCTCTGTGTGTGTATGTGTTAAAAACACTTAACATGGGATCTACCCTCCTAACAATTTAAGTGCACAGTACTATATTGTTAAGTATAGGCACAATGTTGTACAACAGACCTCTAGAACTTACTTAATCTGTTATAACTACATTTATACCCATTGAACAATTCCTCATTTTCTTCTCTCCCCACCCACCAACAACCAACTTCCTACTTTCTGCTTCTTAAGTTTTCTGCTTTCTTAACTGGTTTAATACCTCATGTAAGTGGAATCATGCAGCATGATTCCTTTCTGTGACTGATGCATTCATTTCACTTAGCATGATGTCTTCCAGGTCAATCTATGTTGTCACAAAATTTTAAGACTTTTAAATAGGATCTCATATACCTTGTCAGTTTGGCCAGGTATAAAATTGCTCTGATTCTCACGTACATACACACATATGCATTCATTTTTAGATGGACATGAAAAAGAAAGTATTTCAGTTACAGATATTTTATTAGAAAATCATGAGGAAAATACTAAAAAAAAAAAAAGCCGTTTCTCAAAAAGAACTTCAGTTAAGCCACCAAACAATTGCTTATAAAATACAAGACCTTTTTTAGGAATGCCTGGATGTCTCAGTGGTTGAGCATCTGCCTTTGGCTCAGTGTGTGATCCCGGGGTCCCAGGAATGAGTCCCACATCAGGCTCCCTACATGGAACCTCCTTCTCCCTTTGTCTGTCTCTCTCTCTCTGTGTCTCTCGTGAATAAATAAAGTCTTTATAAAAATAAAATAAAATACAAGACCTTTTTAACAATATCAAAACTTGAAAAACTGCAAGTTTTTGTTTTGTTTTGTTTAATCTTTAATGAGTCACAAGATATAAAAGACATTGCCCAACAAGTACTTGGAGTATGTTTTGTCTCTAAGGACTTCTTAATTTATAAAGAAATATTGTCCATTCATAGCCTAAAATATCAAACTAATGGCATAGATGTATTTTATTTTATATCTGTCAGAGAAGAATTTTGGCTAGATATTAAAAAGTTAGTTTCTAACACCATAAACAATTTTCCAGCTATGTTAGCTCAAATCACAGATTTATTGGAATTTTTAAAAAGGAACTGATGTTTCCTTTATTTCTTTGTTTCACTATATGATACATCTTACAAATATTTATGCCCAGTTTTCTGAAACAGACTCCATGAAATCTGTCCTGGATACAGTTGTTAAAATCATTCAGTGCATACATGCAAATGCAATGAATCATTACAAGTAAACAGAACTGTTGAAAGAAGTAGAAGACAGGGAATTTAGTGGTCTCATGACTTCTTTGCCAATACTCTTTGGTTGAGCGGTGAAAAAGTTTTATAAACATTAATGTACTGTTAACTCCAATTCCAATTTTCATCCTTGAAAATAAAGAAATATTTACCAAATATCCAATAATCAGATAAAACATGGCAACATGATCTATATTTTCACACCGATACCACACCGCATATAAATGAACTAAATTTGGAGCTCCAAAGAAAGGAAAAGCTTATCAGTGACCTACGTGGACGGATGCAAGATTTTAAATTGAAGCTGAAACTTTTCATAATAGAATCAACAATAATGATTTTTGTAGTTTCCTTTCATTAGTCAATGTGCCAACAATTTTCGTTGTAATTGAAAGCGTTATGTAAACTGGCTGCAAAAACTATAAGAAAAATATGAAGAAGCCGAGACTGACAAAAAGCTGCCTTCCAATCTGTCAATACCATTTTGAGTTCAACGTTAATACTGAGTTAACACAAGAGGTAATGAATTTACTTAGGCAGACATTGATTTGAAAATGTCCTTTGCTTTAAAGTCAAAGCAGTTATTTTTTTTTTAAAGATAAGCCAGTTTTATCAATGTGCATGTGAATACTGGAGGAGAATGATTTTCAGTTATGAGAAACTTTTAAGTGCATTGGAGCACCTCAGTTATGTGAATATACTTTTCCAACTATAAAATGTATAAAATCATACACTGCAGCTATTCCCCATAAAAACCAAACCATCCAAATTTGCTGCTCTACATATGTGAAGTACACTTAACATGAAGAAAAGAATCTAAAATGTCACATTCTTATATTTTATAGTGATTATATGTTGAAAGATACTCTTGAGCGTATTGTGCTATATAATGTATATTAGTAAAGTTAATTGACCTGTTTATTTTTATTTGTTAAATATGGCCACAGGAAAGTCTTAAATTACATTATGTGGCTTACAGTGTGTTGCTCTCAGACAATGCTGACCTGGGGGTGTCTGTGAAAACTGCCTCCTCAGTAACTACTGTACTTAGGTGCCTTCAAAGGGTAGAGAGGGGAGGGGAGGAGGTCAGTCTGTGTCAGTGACAGCTGCCCTGATCACTGGGAGAACTTTTTGTCCTATTGGGTATATAAGTGTTTGTCACTGCTTGCCATTGTCTTCCTGATTTTTCCTCTTCTGACTGTGAAAAGAAAAGAAAAAAAAAGAGGAAGGAAGGTCAGTTCTGGAAGCTTAAAGCCAGATTTCCGCTGGAAGTCTAGCCAGCCAGTTAACATACGTCAGAGTCTATTCAGAGTATCAAGGAGTGAAAGAGAATGCCTTTCTCTAGTAAGTGAAGGAAATAGCTTATAGGCTTTTGACTCCAGAAGCATCAGAAACCCTGAAGCAGAGAAAAGGGGAAACTGGGCTTTTGGGGCCCTTTGAAGAGCTAGGACTTTTTGACACTGGAAACGTTGTCTAAGAAAGTAAAATGTTGTTTTTGCAAAATAAGGAAAGTGGAGTAAGGGAAGAAGAACAGATTAGGGCTAAAAACTGAAGTTTAATAGGGAAAGGATATTTAATTTGCCCATATGCGTTTTGTTCCTTTGTTGTTGTTTTTTTTTTTTTTTTCGTTTTGTTCCTTTGGATTTTTCTCCAAAATAAACAGGAATCATATGCAATGATTGTGGTTACTCATGACCTAATAATTCATGTTCTTATTTTAATAATCACATTTTGAATGAATGAATGAAGAGTCTGAATGATCAGATTGTCTGCTGCTTTGGTCACGGTTGGGAAAAGGTTTTGTTTGTTTGGGGAGGTGGAGTGCTATGGAGAAATAACCCATTTACCTAGTGGCAGATACACTAGAATCCAGACATAGAAACTAGGAGGAAACAAACACTTTCTGGAACAAGCTTACAGATTCAGCAGAGGTACTCGGTCTGTGTCATAAGCAGCTCTTTGCCTGGCCTGGTGCCTGCCACCACGTAGGCGGCCAGCATCATTTGTTGGATTGAATTGTAAAATGAGATCATTTCCACAAAAAGATTTGTTGTCTAATCAGAAGACAGGGTGCAAACCGTAAGGAATTATATAAATATAATTGGTTTTATTTTTTGTATTTTTGTGTTTTGAATTTGTTTTGTTAATGATAAAAACCCTTTTCAGTTTCTTTCTTTTTCTTTCTTTCTTCTTCTTTTTTTCTTTTTTCAAAGAAAAGACAGTGCGTACACAGAACACAATACAGACATTGAATTTACTACCTGAATCACACTCTCCAAGCATTCTTTGTAATGACTTGGAACAACTTCTACCCCACATGCAATATCCTAATTGAAATCCTGCTATAAAATATCTGCATGCTGGGGCCAGTAAAACCTCATCATTCGAACACAAGTCTGGGCAAGAGGACATGGGTGCCCTGTGGTATCTTAGCTGTTTCCCCTTTAAGATGGCTTCTCTCGTTTGCCTTGTCAATCGTGTTATTTAAACTTGTGTGTGTTATCACCATCATCTTCCTGACATTGGTAAGTGAAAATACCTTCTAAGAAAGTGGAAAAGCCTGTGACAAAAGTATATGAACCAAGGAGGTCTAGAAAACCCAATCACGAAAACGAGAGAACAAAAAGCATTTTGAGAGAAGAAAATGAATATAAAATCCTAAGCAGGAAGACAGTATTTGCTACTGAACAACGTGGTCACACAGACCATTTGTCCACACTCACTAATGAGTTCATTAATGCAACTGTTGTTTTAAATCCATTATATCTTTCAGAAATCCTCCATGGGTAACTATGTGGATTCCTAAGAGTGGGTTAGTGATATATGGGAAAACTGATTAGGTTTTTAAGAAATGTGTTTTCATTCTTCTCACTTAAAATAAGAAAATATAGATTCAGGCTATTTGGAATTTCAATATCCAAAATATTTTCAGGAATGTATTGGATTTGTATAACACAGGATGCCTGAGGTCACAGAGTGAAAAGCACAATTAGATGGTGTTATGAAGGACATGTGGATGGGCTCAGTGGTTGAGTGTCTGCCTTTGGCTCAGGTCATGATCCCAGGATCCTGGGATCAAGTCCCACATCAGGCTCCCGGTGGAGGGAGCTTCTCCCTCCGCCCATGTCTCTGCCTCTCTCTCTGTGTCTCTCGTGAATAAATAAATAAAATCTTTAAAAAAAAGATAGTGTTATGAATAAGTCTGTTTTAAAGTTTTCATATCTAGAAAGGCCTTTTAAACTACAAAGAATTTAATATTTTTATGTCACTTAGAGATATTTGGCAAACATATGACTCTAGATAATGTTCCATAACAGAACTTCAAAGTAGTCCTGTGATGTTGAAATAAAGTTGGAATCCTTCATCAAAATTAAAAAAAAATACATTTGAAATTTTTGAGATCTTCATAAACTCTTCTTTCCTCAAAAAAGACAAACAAAATTGAGTGTGGAGGCCATAGTTAATCCATGGACAGTTATGGTTGTTCCCAGCTGCTTTCTCTACCTCTAATCATCTCTGTCCCTCCCTGTCCCAGTGGTCAGCACAAAGCTCTCAGCATTTTTTGGTGAAAAGCTAGTCATTACAGCTTCTGGTTTGAGGAAATATTCTCATTTCTTTTTGTGTCAAGTTTAAATGTTTCTTTCCAATGGCCAATGATCAATGATCGATGTCCTGCCATGTTACCAAGTCTTCTTTAACAGTTACCATCACTTTGTTAGACTGCCCTCTTTTGCATGTTACTGGGTGGTCCTTTCCAACCTCCTGGTTTGGCAGATCCTCTTGGGCTGCCTCAGTTAGGGATGCTGTGCACAACTGCTTTGTTCTGTTCAGCTCTCCAGTCCTCTTGGGCACAGGTACAACAGGGACATATCCACACGTAGCTTCAAGCACAGCTCTGAGCACAGGATATGAGGTCATGTAATGTTTACTAAATGAATGAATGAATATGACATTATCTGCTTGAGTAACCATATCTGCTTCAGTCTTGAGAGACTAGAAATCTACAGAAGATTTCCATCTTGAATCATAGGGTGGACCAGATACCCTGAGATTTCTTGCTGTAAAAAAAAAATAAAATATAATTGACATCCTTTTTTTAAAAGATTTTATTCATTTGACACAGAGAGAGGGAGCACAAGCAGGGTAAGCTGCAGGCTGAAAGAGAGGAAGAAACAGGATCCCCACAGAGCAGGGACCTTGATGCAGGGCTCCCAGAACCCCAGGATCATGTCCTCAGCCAAAGGCAGCTGCTTAACCAACTGAGCCACCCTGTCACCCCTTGACAACTATTTAAATGCAAATATGAGCTCACAAGATAGAAGAGAAATCCCTATAGGAATAGGAAAACCGTCATAAGTCTGTCCTCATGCCAAGGTGCTTAGAGGGGTTTTTGCAATTGATCAAATGGAGGCTTTATTTAAAAGGACCATAAGGAAGAGAAGATAAAAAGCCTATTCAGTGTGGAATCTGGAACCAAGACCTCTAGAGAACACTGTTGGTGGAACCATAAAAGCTACT